GGGTACCCTGAGTTGATGAACCGGTGGGTGCCCAGTGATTTTTGATGCTACAGTACTTCGTACTTCGGGATGACGGACAGAGATTACTTGGTGGTGATTTGCACCGGATTCGGTGCTGCGGGTCGTACTACCGCTTGTACGAGAGTACGAAAGTACGAAAGAATCAAATGTTTGGGAGGAGCGAGGGTTTGTGTTTTAGCGAAAGTACGGGGTTGTATGGGGACCACACTGGTGCTAGGGTAAGGGTCTACACTACTTCGTACACAGGTACGGGTGGCATCTTGATATCCGAAAGAGAAAAGGACGTCGCATCGTTCTCTGATGAGTAAATGTGTACGGGTACGAAAAGATTGATCGAATGGGCTTGGGCATTTCTTTTGGGACGAACCAAACAATCTTGGAGTTTCCCCAGCGGAAGCAATCTTAACACGCGCTCATTCCAGGCGAACCCGCACTGCAGGTTTCCGACGGCATCTGACCTGACCGGGAAAATTTTATCTTTGACGGGTTCAGTAGACCTCGTCCGCCCGCTGGTTAAGTGGCGCGTTATACCCGTGTATGGCCCAACTCCTCCTGCACCATGGAGACTTTCCTCGGTTCCCTCATGCCGAAGTGGTACGCTGAAGGAGGGAACTAACCCTACGGATCCTCCTTGAATAAGAACACATGCACTGTGCGTCTTCCTTCTTATTTCTCTTCTTGCCTGCAAGAGAGAAGGCATAGAGAGACAGCATGAGCTTCTCGAGATCAGAAGCTGCTTGTGCAGTGAGCAGACGGATGAATTGTCGTCCAAGCTTCGCTTACGCCATCCAACCCGAACCAGGAGCGGAGAGAAGCGAATTTCGCAAGTGCGTAGCAGTAGCAATTGGCAGGACGAAGTGTTACATTAGTGTCCTATGGATTTTCTTTTCTTAAAGAACCATTCCCTGGCGCATTCCCTTGTCTGCGGCTGGATGGGGAATGGCGTGAGCTAGGGTGCCCGTTGCTTTCCCTTTTGTGTTTGATGAGCTCGACGTTGCAGTTTGCACAGGATCTTGGGCTTGTTTCAACTTTCAACTCGAGAACGAGGAAGGCTGGGGTTTACTTGACATGGGTGCCCTTGTACCTTTGTAAGTGAGTGGTCGTTTCGGTGAAGCTGCTAGGAATTTCGGCACAACGACAAGAAATGAGAGCGTGAAAAAAAAATCTGGATATCTCAGGAAGGCCATCTCTGATTTTAGGAAGGGCCGGAAGGCTCCCCGTGTCTATCTGGAAATACCCTCGATAATTAGAGATACAAAAAAGGAATAATAAAAGAAGAAAGCAGATTGATCTGTCGTTGAGCGGATTCGACAGCAAGCACAGGGCTTCTTCTCCCCCAGAATTGGACTCGCAATTCTGCACCTCGACGGGGCGAAAAGCAAGACCCAATGTCCCACGTCTCGCTACGGCACACGTACAGTAACTCCATCGGAGGATATGAGAGACATTGCTTTGTCTAGTGGAGCCGTGCTCCTCCGTACAATTGTTGCTTTTCCTCAACGGGCCCGGGAGAAGCAATGCGTGCAGGCTCGCGATGCAGCGGCCCACTAAAAAAACGAGATTCGACGAGGGATTGGAGACGAAGCTGAGCGAGAAATGGTGCGAGCGCGCGGTGGTGGATCAATGATGCTCTCAAAATCCAACCCCCACTGAGATTCGGCTCTCTTTCTCTGACTGCGTGCGTCTTTGAGTGCCGGCTTCTGGACTCTTCGAAACTCTAGAGTCGCCTGCATCATGCAGGTTCTAAGATGGTAAGACGACGGACTATTGGGACTTTGCTTAGAGCGATCCTCGGTCTAGGTCAGGGCCGCCGCTGATATTCGAAGATACATTTTTTTTTTCTTTCTCTTTGTGTGCCGTGGAACACCTTGCATCCTGCAGATGCGAAGTCTACTGTAATCACGTCTGTGAGCGGCAAGTTTCCATGGAAAGGGGCCATGAGAACGGAGAATTGTTCCCCATGCCCGGCCGGGTTCGGCGGGAAAAGGAATGCAGATGAACGCTTCCCTCCAAGTTCCAGCCATAAGAAGCACTTGTTCTCTGTGGCCATCATCAATTGATCCGTCTCGCCCAGTACTACTTCGTACCAGTGCTCTCTGTACTCTGTACGAACTTTCCGACATCTCCACTCTGAAGTTGTCAAAGCCCGAATTTCAGGGTCCTGTCTACTGTACACTACTACACTACTGCTGCAGATATATAGAGACTAGTGTAATTCATCCGCGTGGTGTAGTGTAGACCTTAGCGTTGTACTAGACGAGCACCTCAATGACAATCGTAAAGAGAATTCCCACGGGTTGTCGGTGGTACTGCGTCTGGATCGGGATGTGATAGTGCTCTCCCAACGCAAGAACGATGTACGAGGTAGGGGGGAACCAAACCAATGCCTCGAGTGGCTGCAGTACTTGAATCTCTCTTTCGTAAGTACTTCGGACATCGCCAGCCATTATCGGGCGGCGAAGAATCCTGCAGCCAAAAAGCCAACGCGGAATCAACACGAGTGTGTGCTGATATGCGCACGGAATTGCATTTCCTCAACATTACTGGATGGCGCGGATACGGTCTTTCGATTCAGGTAAATGGGGCATTCTGCATCACTAGCAGCAAGTAGATTGGCATCCCACCAGCACATCGCGATAACCCGTTCGCTTCTTCGCAGGTACAATATGATAATAGACTCTGTCCTGTCCTTGAAGAACAATTGAATTGACCAAGATCTCTCTCCAATGGCCAATATAGGGAGGCTGGTGCCATTGATCAATCATAATGAGCGTTGCCATGAGCCCGTGCCCTTGCGCCAATCCCCCCTGCAATCATAGATGGCAAAGATTGTGAGGGGGTCTTGCAGCGGGCAGCCCCTGCACCTTGACGGCGGTGGTAGTGGGAGTACTTCGTACGAAGTACATAGTGGGCACTTTCAGGGTTCTTGTCGGAACATAGGTTTGACCAGACCCTATTGAGCAAACGCGTTCTGCGTGTGCTTGACAGTTGAAGAGGCCCTGGCCTATTCGTGGAGTTAGAGCGTATCCGTAATACTTCTTAGTCCTGGTTTGTCGTGCCATAGTGGAAAGCCAGGGAGCTCTAGCCAGGACGTAGAGAGATAATTACTACCTCATAATACCTGACCGGTCATATTAGGAGAGTCTCTTTTGTGCCTGTTAGCCTGGATATCAATCAATCCCACGTCGTGTTCGTTCTTGACGACAATCCTCGGGCAGTGCAGTCTCAAGTGGTGGTTGTGTTTCTTCTTCCCGCGCCACACCAAGTACCCTGCGGTCGGAGCGTTTAAGCTCTTCCCGGTTGGGCTTAAGACGGAAGGGAAAAAAAGCAAGAGAAGCACAGGCGAGAAGCAAGAACGTGATAGCGAGTCCCCCCCAACATGCAGATGGCGCAGACGGGTTGGATAGTCCATAATGTAGTGTGCGAGATACCAAGTGATACTTCTTGTCACGATGGGACTAAGGCCGAATGGGGCACCAAGACCGCTATCGTGGGGTATCTCTACCCTCACTCTCCCGAACCTCAAAGAAGTAATTACTCTAATTGGATGCAGCAGCCTCCAAACTGTACTGTACCTAGGCTGTTCGTACATCGTACTGCTTTGTACTAAGAGCCTTTGGGTAGGTCGACGCATCAAGGCAAGCGCCAATGGGAGGGGTCCTCTTCGTCCACACGAATGTGGGATCGTGTGCTGCGAGGTTCTCGATGAGCAAGGGACACTGAACCCTTGTTCTTGTTAGTGAGGTTCGACAAAATAAGATGGCCTGGCATCGAAACCCCTGAGCTTCTTCCAAAAAGACGCGATTGTGGTGCCGTTTGCCCATTTGCTTCTTTCCAAGTACCTTCCCCTCCTTTCGAATCCTCGACCGGGAAGAGAGGCCAAAGCCCAGAGCATCTTCACATCACGGCTTTTCCGCTCCTTTCGTTCATTCTCTCACATCCAACTTCACCCTTTCCTTTCAACCTCTTGTCGTTGCTTCAACAATTCCATTTTCCATCCTCTTCGCTTCTTCTTTTGTCTAACTCGATACATCTCTACGAACGCGCCCCTACTCGCTAATATCTCGTACCACCCATTCACGACTACTCTCCCTCACCCTGTACCTTCGTAATCCACTGAAGCAGCATCTACATCGACAAACAACATCCGGAGCAAACGGCATTATTCCCCACGACTTCGATTCTCAATTGTATTGTTATTCGCATCTCAGCATCCACCGAGCCATCGCTTCCTTCTCTCTCTCCCTCGCCAACGATCAAAGTGATAAAAACACCATCCAGGTTGAGGCTGTTGCTTCACTTTTCCCCGGAAACTAGAAAGGGATTTCCTCTGGCGCCGAAGGTCCCGAAGATTCCTCAGATCGATTCCGCGCAGCCGACTCGAATCCACCACTTACTTACATCCCATATCCACATGAGACCGAAACATTTCTCGGCACCATCGACCACTCTTTTTATCTCTTTAACGATTGACGAACTACAACTTTAATAATCAGCTTACAGCGCTGTGATTTCTTTTTGCAACACGAAACCCAAATTTTAGGAGCATGAGATTTTGTCTGGCCTTGCTTCGATGACAAGATCAGACGCGTGCTTGGGGAAAGTGGACGATTCGTGAATGGGGCCAAAAAGATATACACGCTGTTGTTTCCAAGCAAGACTTGACTGACATCAGGATCCTGAGAGACTGTCTTTTTCATCGCCCCCAGAAATAGGAGGAATCTGGACCGGAAAGGATCCTCATCGAATTTTCGATTTCGCCTATTCCAACAGAAAGTCACAACCACGGCATATAAAATTAAATCCAAAGGGGAACACCAAGAACGAAGGGGCCAAAGAAAAAAATTAAATAAAGGGTCTCGCTATCGAGCTCGCACGTACAAAGTGTTGAGTCCGAGAAGCTAGCTTGGTGAGAGGGGACGTGAGAGCGGGACGGTGCCGGCAGAGTCAAGACAGGGAATCCCGTTCCACTGATCATGATGTCTGTTGGTCCGGAGCCCGTTAGCTCTGGGATATTTCCCGTTCCGGGGCAAACGCACATTCCCCAAGTGGCCCGGCGATCATCGACGACTCTAGGGTCGAGAACGAGCTCATCGGCGACGGTCGCGCCGTCTCTGGCGACATCGTCGTCTTCTCTGTCGTCGGCCACCTCGTCCTCGTCGACGTGCTTACACACGGCGCACCGCCAGAGCCACAACCAGTCCAAGTTGCCCGCTTTCCGATTTAACGACCTCAATGCTGGACATGGAAAGTTGCCAGTCAGTGTGGGTCTTCCGCTGCCCTCGCTTCTGCAACAGCAGCACTTCCCCCCCTCCGCAGCGTCGCCCAATAATTCACCGAATCCACAGAATCCACAGGAGGCCCCGAATCCGACCAATCCCGTGACCGTGCCTGCGCTGGGACCACGCCAGGGCCCGGACACTGGAACAATACCAATACAGCCAGTACAATCAGTGGCTCAGAATTGTTATGCGGCCCCAAGTACAACTACAAATCAAAATAATACTAATCCAATGGGTACAAAGACAAGTACACAACAAGGTACAAAAGGTACACAGGGTACACAAATTCAGGGAGGAAAAGGACACAGCGGACAGGGACCAGCGCCCGACAATATCACCCCATCAGCGTCAGACCCGCTGCACATCCCCCAAAACATCCGCTCTCACACAGTCCCTCATCCCCCTTCCAGCACCAGTTCCGGGCGCCCAACATCGGGAAGCCAACTGGCTCAAAAATCCGTGCTGAAGCAGAAGAAACCAGAAATCCCTGCTGCTGCTGCTTCTGAATCGCTGATTAAATCGCCCCGGGCCAGGGCGTCGACCTTTCAGCAGTCGAGGTTCAGCGTTATAGCGTCATCATCGGTGTCTGCATCGACGGCCTCCCCGTCCGTTTCGAGAATACCCGGAACAGCAGGTGGAACAGCGAAAAGCACGTCCGCCGCTACGACTGCTTCTACTGCGAGACGACCCGCATCTTTTCCTGCATCGCCCTCTAAAAAACACGTGTGTGTGGACAACACCACACCAAACGTTTCCGCACTCAAGGAGTCAGCAGCACAACCAGAACTTCAACCAGAAGCGCCACTTGTACCCGCCCAGGTATCCCAGGTGTCAGCAGTACCCGCTCCTGCACCTGATCTGGCACCACCGCCCGGTCCTGGTCATACATCATCCTCCACCACCCCGACACCCACAACAACTGCAGCCACTCCGACGGCGACACCCAAATCTTCGAACCCAATTACCACGACTTCGACAAAACCACAACCGACACGACGGAAGCCCGCGTCGCTCGATTCCACCCCCATAATTTTAGTCGCGGACCTTTCCTCTCCGCCCCTAATCCCTCCTCAGCGCCGACACACCGATACCACTCAAGTCCTTCACACCTCGAAACCTCAGCGGACATCATCGTCGAACGACCCCGGGGCTCAAGGCCAGCGTGAACTCCTCCTCCCAAAGACCTTACAACAACAACAACACCACCACCATTCCACTCCGTCCGATGAGAAGCGCGTGTCTACTTACCTCACTCGCCGAAAACCCCCAGTTTCCTACAAAGCCCCGCTATCGATCTGCACGACGACGAAATCGCCCGCATCGGCCCCATCCTCAGCCACCACACCGGTCCGCGTCCCCCCTATTCGAGGATTCCGATCGTCCGGCTCCCGGCGCAGCCTCATTCTCGACATGGGGTCAAGACCTACGAGGCCCTACGACAACAGCAGCGGCGACGAATCGCAGAGTTATGACTCTCGCGAACATACCCTCCGCGCCCTAGAGGGTCGCAATGACTTGGCTCAGATCACCCCTCCACACTCGATGGATCATGATGGCGCGGAGCAGGAGGATACGACGGACATGTTTTTGAATATTGCGCGGGAGGAGTCCGTTCGGCCTAGTATCGAGGATGGCCATGAGGACCAAAGCGCTTTGGTAAGTCTGTTTGGTCTCAGTTTTTGTCCGAAGTTTGAGTTTTTTTTTCCTATTTGTTTTCTTCTTTATTTTCGCTCGGAGGACCTACTGTCCAGATTATTTTTTATGCCTCAAACTAGTATCCCAGATGAGAGGCAATTGCAGTGGCCTGGACTATGGACACGCCCAGCGCATTTTGGTTTTCAGAATTATTTTTGCATGCGTCAATTTCGACCTGATGTGGTTGTTGGGCATATATGACACTTCATATCAGGTTCACTCCCCTTGCATCACATTCCAACACCTCCAAAAGTCACACGGCATGCATAATATAATTTTTCTACCTAGGGTTATACTAACCGCACACTTAGTCTCGAGTCCGACGGACCACACAACGAAGGCCACTCTCAGCGGCTATCCCTTCACACCAACCCATCTCACCCCCCAGGATAAGTCGACGTCTCTCTGACCAACGTGAAACTTCGAGGTCCAATCTGGAAAACGGCTCGTCGACCGATCAAACGAGTCGGAACCTTCCCTACAGGAATCTCGGACGAGAAAAGGCGATATCTGTTCATCCTGGCGAAGACCTAGGTCGCAGGGTAATCTCAGCCAGGCCAAGCCCGACGACACCAAGAACCCTCGCATTCCAGGACGTTGGGGATAGCAGTGCGTATGGCAGGCGTCGGACGTCGATCTCGGACGCCATCACCCCTCGAACAACACCTTACAAGCAATCTAATCTTTCTTACGGGCAATATCGCTCCTCCCCTGTTACGTACTCGCCGGCTGGATACAACTCTTCATCTCTGGCACCTCGCTCAGACCACACGTTACGAGCTGAGCCGCAGCAGCAACAACAACAGGGAATGGAGTACGGTCAGGGGGTAGAGGGGACGGAGTCCACGGCGTCTACGACCGGGCCATCAACAGTCTGGGATGAACTTGATGACTTGAAGTCGCGCATTAGCCGTTTGGAGCTGACAGGAAAACTGCCACCGACGTCTGGAGCGGCAATGTCTCGAGTGTCAGACGATCGACCGTACACGGCGAATACGACAGTTACCAACGTTTCCGGGTCTCCAAAACGCATCACACCAGGGGCTGCTTCTGTCGTCGGCGGACAAGGCGACGCTAGCAGCACCGTATCAGCGACTCAGAAGGAGTCTCATCCAACCCTGCACGGGGCGCTCGCGAAATCGAAGACGCTGCTCAGTGGGGAGGTGTACAAGGCTCTCGAATCGGCTACGACGGACGCACTGGCTTTGTTGGCCATGATGGGAACCGCGGGCCAGCCCGGCCCGATCTCTAGCGGCGCGAGTACGATCGGAGGGGCTGGAGGTGTAACTGATCGCCAGCTCCGGCGGAAAGCAGACAGCATCTGTCGCAGTCTCACGGAGCTGTGCCTGGCTTTGAATGAAGAGAATTCGCGGCCTAGGACCTCACACGGCCTGAACGCAGCGCAGACCGAGAGCCCGGCCACACCGACGGTTAACGGTTTCGGGGCCTTGAACACGCAGCGGCGGCCAAGCGGCGTTGGTGAGCAAACGATGGCTAGGCTCAACACTAGTCCTCGGGCTATGTCACGACTCGAAGAGCGCCGAAGTAATCTTTTGAACGGCACCGCTCTTCCTAGCCCTCGCCTTCTTTCGTCAACCCTCGCCACTCCTACTGAAGTTGGGCAAGGGAGGCGATCGTCTCTCTTGTTCTCCCGGCGTCGTGCGACGACCGAAGAACCCGACGAGGGACGCCAAACGTCCCTTTTGCGAACACGCCGAGCTGGAACCGAAGAGCCCGAAGAAACGAGGAAACCGTCGCTTCTGCTTCGACCCAGGAGGGGGACCATTGGAGAGGGTGACGACGACGACTCCCGCATCCGCGCACCATCAAGGGCAACGACAGAGGTTACCCCTTCACCTCGGATGGTATCGAGAGACTACTCGGCACCGGGCGCCGAACCCAATTCGATGACGTCTTCCGCGCTTCCCCGGCGACGCCTCGGACCCTCGACTCTTAACTCACGATTAGCAGTCCCCTCGTCTCCCGCCACCGGCACGGTACGCTGGGTTGGGGATGTGAACGGAAGCAGCCTCGCCGACAAACTCGTCGAGGAGCGGGGCCCCGGCCCACGGCCGTTTTCGTTGGGGCAGACGGCGATGCTTAATCGAACGACGAGTATCAGCCGGAGGAACCGCGATAGCATGATTATGAATGGACCTGGAACACCTCAAACCGGGTCGTATAGATGACAATAACGATGACTGAAGGACAAAAAAGCCCGTCGTCTTATACCACGTTACGATTATGCCAACCAACCATACACACCCAAGCCTTACGCACTATGTATTATTATGCCTCTTTTCTACTGGAACGTTTTCTATTCTTGTCTGGGTTTATCCGGTTGTGTTTTTTTTTCCTTCTATGTTTGTTGTTGTTTTTATTTTGTTTGACTATGCATGCATGCCCTTTATGGGCTTTTTATGTCCTTGGATTTTGACATTGGGAAAATACACATGTGCAGCGACGTCACCTTGGGCCTACGCAAACCTGACATCTTTTCTTTTCGTCTTTCGATTCTTTTTTTCCTTTTTTTTTTTTTATATATATATAATGACGGCATTGATGATCTTTTGACGAAAGATTGCACTCGACTGTCGGAGTTTTTTGTTTTCATCCGCTTTTGTTTTCTTTTCTTTGTTCTATTTTGGGCCGCATTTTCTTTTCCATTTTCTTTTTCCTTTTTGATCCGACTCCTGGTCTCGGACTCCCTTCTAACTTTCATTCTTACCGTTGGGGCCTGTTGTCTCCCTGATTTTATTTTGTATATCTGTTCTGTTCTATTGCATCGTGCTGGCTGGGTACTGAAAACGCCTGCCTGATGATGGGCTGGCTCTCTCGGGTGTTGACTTAAGCTGAGGGCTGAGGCGAAAGAAGCTGCGGGGAGCGGGTATTTTACAAGCAAGTTGGGCGTGTTTATGGAGAATGGGAAAAAGAGGCAGAAAGTACTCGGTTTGATGCGGAGGATAGGCACAAGCAGAGCACTGGAGACAACGAACTTTGTGAACTGCAGCACGGCATCGTGCAGGGTCCGACTGGGGGATGGATGGGAAAGAGTGGGAGCTGAGAATGTATGATATTAATGTTCTAGGTATATATAGATTAAATGTTGTTCATGAGCATTTTGTCTTGCGCCTCGGGGGGTCAACCCGTGTGCCCCCTGCAGTTAGTAGGTCTGATATGAATAAAGGGAGAAGGACTGAAATGCTCCGCTCATTGCCTCGGGCAGAAGATGGATCCGGAAACGGCGTCTAGATCCCCCGACTGAGGTTGGTACCACCGAGTTTTCGAGTTGAACGGTTCGTCCGGAGTGAGTAACCAGCTTGAACTTGGTTGTCGAGAAATGACATCAAGTTTTATTATGTCTGGCACTTCTGTAGAGCTTGGGAACTAGATGTCGGTCAAATCGGCGTGTGGCGATGATAGATATCTACCCTTTTTTTTTTCTGCCCATCTTTCATTCTTCTTCGAGTCTGGACCTCTTCTTTTTCTCTTGATTCTTATGCTATATGCAGAGCTTTAGTTTTTTTATGGTTCTCTCTCTCCCAAACGCCCATGAAAGCCAAACTATCGAGCAAGATCTACAACTCCCTCCCATTCTCAACATAAATATACAGGAGTTGCCCTCCTTCTCCCCAAAAGTCCAACCAAGCAAAGAAAAGAAAAAAAAGACGCAATAAAGACACCAAAACGTAAAACCTTAAGCCTTCTTGGCCCTCTTGGCCGCCTCCTTAGCCATCTTCTCCCTCCTCGCAATCGACGCCTCGGCGCCAATGCCGCCAAAAACGAGCCCGACACCAAGCCACTGCATGTTCGTAAGGCGGTGTCCGAAGGCGATGACGGAGAGGATCATGGTGAACATTTTGCGGGTGACTGTTACTGTGACGAGGAGGACGGAGGAGAAGGTGGCGAGGGTGTAAACTGTTTGTCTGGTGTTAGTATGTCTCTCCGTAGCAAGGAGAAGGGAAAAGAGAGCCAGATAGAGGTATCAAAAACTCACAGATGAAGACCTGTCCGATAGCACCGCAAGCCGCAAACCCCAAAACATCCCTCCAGACGGCGGGATACCTCGCCATAAACCCCAGCGCAGCCCTCAACTCCCCGCCACCCCCGGCAACATCCATCCCCAAATACTCCCCCAACCCCGTCCTTACCAACCACGGGCTCAGCAGCAAATACCCTCCCGTAACGAGCGTACTCATAACATTATTCGCCACCATCATCTGCGGTCCCGTATAAGGCTGAAACGTCGAAAAAATGTGATCCTGCGTACTATTCGTCAACCCATCAAACAACAAATTAATCCCCAGCAGCAAAAGGCCCCAGACGACGTTCCGATCCTCGTCGACGTAGCTCGCGTGGCGGTTCTTCTTCTTTCCCGAATGGAGCGTGAAGACGGCGACGCCCGCCGTCACGGCCGCCACGACGAGGTATTTGTAGAGGGGGTAGCGGCGGCGGAAGACGGTGATGTGGAGGAACATGACGGGGAGGAGTTTGCAGCTTTTGGCGAGGAGGAAGGTGATGTAGTCGATGTGGGAGAGGGAGGCGTAGCCGAAGGGCGAGGCGAGGGAGCTTGTTATGGCTACGAGGGCGAGGGGCCCGAGGATGCGCAGGTTGGGGATCGGTGGGGGGATTGAGGCGCCTTTTGCGGTGCTGGCGATGAGGTAGATGAGGCCTGTCGTTGCGGCGAAGGCGGACTGGATCGTGTTGAGGAATACGGGGAATTGGAAGACTTCGGGTTTATCGGCTGGGCCGTAAGGAGTCGTCGTGAGCTTCTCTTGGAGGTACGCCCACGTCAAGCTATGAGAGATCGAGTTAGAAGCCAAAACTATTGAATTGAGATAGATCCTAATTCGCCAAGGGCAGAATTCTAACTCACAAGCTGGCATAGATGCCCCCGACGGCAATGGCAAGCTCCAATGCGCCCGCCTCGCGCTTCTCGACCCTCGCCTCCTTCGCCTTCGCTTCTGGCACAACGGCGGCGCCATTTGCGCTCCTCTTTCGAGGCGTAGCGCCTTCGCGTCGGGAAAAGTACTCGTCGGAAACTTCTCGCCGTAATGGCGTCGCCTGCTTAGTGCGTGCCATTTCCGGCTGTTCTTTGGTTGAACGAAGAAAAAGACGACAAAAGAGGGAATAAAAAAAAAGAAACGGAGGTACGTGGGTTTGTGATCAAGCTAGGTGATTTTAATTATGGGATCGCCTGCAATGTAGCAAAAGCAGCTGTGCCGAATGGAACTGGAACAACCCCTGGAATTAAAAAGAAAGAAAAAAAAGAGAGGCAAAATTGGGAAATAGCGACCAAAAGAGGGGAATTGAACTCAAAATTGAACGAGTTGCAACGTCAGAGAGATGAAGAAGACAGAAACGAAAAGAGGAACGCTGAGGTTGTTGAGCTTTCTAAAAAGTTGATGACAGATGGCTTCTCCTGTGAAGCGGAAATCGAAGCGCCACGCTCTAAGTTCGAAGTAGTGTACGAAGTATTAGTGTCAATTAACCTCGTCACTGCCACTCAATCCAAGCTTCCCCCGTGCCCGTGCCCGTGCCTGTCATTGTCGGCTAGCGCTTCAGTGGGGGCGGGGTCGCAAGGGTCCCCCCAGTCCAGACACGGAAAAGCTCAGCCATTGCTCCTTGGCACTCCAAGTCGCGACCATCCACGTCCACCAACGCCACCAGCACCACCTACGAAAGACAATTTTACGCTCTACACAGGTAGACTTCACGCAAATTCAGAAGAGGAGAAGCACACACACACACACACATACACATACTCAAAAGTCCATCGCTTTGCGTCAATTCAATATAAATATATTGAGTCTCGGCTTCCGTTTCTTGTCAACTTCAATTAGCCCTTCATTCTAAGGCTACCCTGCCATCTGCCAGGAGCTGCAAACTACAAAAGCCCTTTCCGGGTCCAAAAGATAGGTGAGAAAGACAGCGCGGATAACAGGTTGTGAGGGACAGGAGTTGCGGTTCAAAGGTGGAAATGAGAACCGCAAAAACACAGGCGGATTTTGTGGAAAGGATATTTATTCATCTTCTGATTATTTGTTTTTTTTTCTCTGTTGAGGGAGGGAAAGGGTTCTCAGGAGTTGGTATTCTGATTTCCACGCGGGCGGATCGTCATCGCCGGGCGGTAAGAGGAAGAGGACGGCGTGGGGTATCGAGAAGTGAGAGGGTGTGTGCGTGAGAGAGAGAGAGAGCAACGACGAGGGTCGAAAGTGAAAGGAGGGACAGAGTTCGTCATGAATTCGCTGTTGTGAGGTTCGGTAGAGAAGAGCAGAACGCTTCGCTATTCGTCTCGGTCGGAAGAGAAAGTGAAGGAGAGGAGCGGTCAATCGGGGCCAAAAACAGGAAAAAGTTAGGAAAAGAAAACACGCAGTCGCAAATTGTCGCAGTACCAGGTGAAATATATCATTTGCGCATTCTGGATATTCGTGAGGCTCGGGCCAAAAAGGAGATGGGCTCCTGCCTGGTGCTGCTTTCCCAGGTGTCATCATGCTACCCCTGATTTCGACAGCTTCCGTAGACTAGCGTAACCAACTCTTAACTATGGCTGTATTACCTCGACCGACGTGAGCTTTTCAACTTTTCACTGGCAAGGGAAGATCCCCAGGCAGAGAGAAGGCTCGGCCAAAGCAAAACATTCGGTGCTAGCGATCGCACTAGGCACAACAAGAAGACGAAACCGAGTTAAGGAGTCGAAGCGTGGATCGGATAACAAGAGGCGGCGTAGAGATAATTGGGGGGATGGGGATAAGAGGGGAGGGGGGAACGGCATTGAGATAATTTTGTGAGTGAGAGTGGACCGTGAGAAATAAAAGTTAAGAAAAAACAGAAGGAAACCCAAGGGGGAGCACAAGGAAATAAGAAGAATCGAATAAAAAGAAAAAGCGTGTCATCGCGTCATTGGTATCCCGCTTCCCAATCTCCTTGATATCGGATATGAAAGCCTTGCGGCAAGTCAGATCTGGGAAGGCCCTTAAAACGGAGTCTTGGCAAACCCGACCCTAAAATTCAAACCCCCTCGAACAAGCAAGACTAATAAAAGGAATACAAGTTAAACGAAGCTTCCGTACGAGAGAGTAACCTCGACACCTTTGCGGGAAATCGCAGGTTGGCCGTAGGTTCCGAGTCGGGACCTTGTGGTTTACTCAGTCGGCTGGGGCTGGCTTCGTCGCATCTTCTCGGCCTCGAGGTTCTCGTACAGCAGGAAGAGAGCAGACTCGTTGGCCTTGGCAGTTCCCATAATCGTGAACATGCGCTCGCCAGTCTCGTCATGAGGAGCCTATGATGTTTCGTCACCAGTTAGTAAACAGAGCGAACAAAGAGAAGGGGTGGGAAAAAAAGAATGAGCATGGAAAAAGCGACGTACCTTGGCAATCGAAATACGCGCACCGGAAGCCTTGCGGATCTCGCTAATCTTGCTTCCAGCACGACCAATAATGCAGCCAACCATATCGGCGGGGATGCTAATGTTCTGGGTCTGGATCTCCTCTCCGTTCTCGTCGTGAGTGGGGGGACCACGGTTGGCTGCATCAGAATCAGAACGGCGATTATACGAACGCGGGCCACCGTTGCTGAAATCGGTGCCATTACCTGTTCGCGTCACCCTGGAGGAGCCGCCGTAGTCGTTCCTGCCACCACCAACACCACCGCTTCCGTAGCTGGAGCCGCCGAAGCCGCTGGTGGTGCCTCCGGACTGGGTGCGAACGGCAGGGTTGTAGAGTACGGTGCCGGTGCCGCGCTGCCAATCATCAACAAGGCACTTGCAAATCTCCCAAACAGCCTGCTTGATACCATCCGGGGTTCCCTGGACCTCGACAATTCGTTCCGTAGACTGAGGAAGCATCTCTTTCTGGGCAACCATGCGGACGCCCGAGACGTCCTGAATATGCTTGATCTTGAGGCCCTGTCGGCCAATGATGGTACCCATCTGGTTGTGCGAGATGAGAAGCTTGATGGCTGTTTGAAACTGTTAGCGTGCGCTACGAGGAAGAAGATAGATGTGCTACGACGGCTGGGAGGACAACATACGGTGAGTGCCGTTGTTCTGAATAACTCCGCCCATACCGACGGAGGGAGCGCCCTCGACGAGGGCTCGAGCGACGATGGCGTAGGCGCGCGCAATCGCATCGCATCCGCCGGTGATGGTGAGAACTCGGTCGTGAACGCCCTGAACGACCTTACTGACGCCGGCCTTGACACCGGTCTCGTCACGGAGATCGGCAACGTTCTTTCCGCCCTTGCCGATGATGACGCCGGCCTCCTTGGAGGAGACGATAGCTCGCAGGGTCAACTGAGCTTGAGCATACTCCTCGTCGGTCTTGGGAGCGGGCTCGCCATCGGGGCCGAGAAGAGGCTCGTCATGCATCTTGGTGTCAAGGTCCATCTCGAGACCGTTGGGGGGAATGGAATCCGAAGCAGAGGCCATTTTCGGAGTTGTAGACTGGAAAGTTACGAGTCGAAAAGTGAGGGGTGAGGGTATATGGTGACGTGGGGAGATGTTCCGAGAGATCGGTCGTTAAAAGTATCGAGGATGAGGCGGGGAGGGGAAGGGGAGGGAAATAGGTCGGCCGAAAGGTATCGAGAGAGTAGGGTCGAGGGGGGAATGGGAGTCGGTGAGGGAGGGTATCAAAGAGTTCCTAACTGAAGGTGGCGATACGCCGTCAGCCTATCTTGATAAATCCAGAAGAAATCACAATTTTCGGCTCGGAGTTTGGGAAGCGTTCAAGTCGAGGCATTCCCAATCCCCAGCTAACATCCACACTTGGGATGCCAACCAGGTAGGGAAAGTGCGCGGCGATCCAAGGTCCGGAAGGTGCGACGAGCCACGGGGCAATTATTGGCAGGCGCAAACGGCGCCCGCCAAAAAACGAGTATGAGGTCCCACAACTCTTCGGAAAAGGGAAAAACAAATGTCGAGCTCAATGACGCAAGACTCGCAGGAAGGACGAGAGGGCTAGATTGACATACCTTTGGGGGGGAGAAGGAATTGATGAGCTCTTGATGTAGTTCAAGAGCTTTTGCGGAATCGAGATCGAAGGTGGGGTGAAGGAGTAATTCTTCTTCCTCTATTTTTTTGAATCACAAATATTGTTAGAATGTTGGATTTTCCCTAATTTTCCCTTGGCTCGCCTTTCCGGATTCGTCCAAGGTGTGGAAAGGGTCGGTGGGTGTGGGACAAGGGAATGAAAAAAATGGCGGGGTCGAAGGTGGGCCAAACGTGGAGAGTCGACGCGGGACTGGGCTTGGGAGGGAGTAGAGAGCACGGTAACTTACCAGGAAAATCAGCGGCTGCTGCTTGGGAAGAACGAACTATGATGGAGGCGCGGGTAAGACGCGGTAGACGTTTCAATCGAGAATGGGATCGAAACGAAGCCGAGAATTGATTGAGCTCGAAAAGGCGCGCTCAAGAATGTTAGAGAATCGGAATGGGATCCCGATGGTTTGATGAGGTGGTGATTGAAAGAGATGGAATTCCTCTGGAGGACTTGGCAGATATGGCCAGAGGGGGGAGGGAGGGAGGGTGTGGGAGTTGAAGAGTGGAAGTGGGAGAAGAGGAGAAAGCAAGAAGAAGAAGAGATCAATGAGATGGGATGGTAGCAAAGAGATGAACGAGGCGGAGGAGGAGGGTAGATGGATTGTATGGTGCGAGAAGCAAAGGTGAGGTGAAGGTGGTGATGAGAAGCTCGCAGGAAGCAAAAGAGCTGAGCAAAGGTTAAGTTCGAGCAAAAGAGGTGTGTGCGGGTTATGTCTGGAGAAGATGTTAGAGGTGAGTTGTCGGAGGGAGATAAAAACGAAGCGGGAGAGGGAGAAGAAGGGGAAAGAGATAGAAAGGTTTTAGGGGAGAGGTGAGGGAAGAGCCGGTGAGGGAAGGTACGATGAGGAGATCAGAATATCATCGAGATACTTCCTTCCATGATAGTTATGGGAGATGAGGAGATGGAAGTAGCAATTTTGAAAGAGGTGAAAGCAGGAAAGAGATTTAAGAATGAGAAGGCAGTTGAGGTTTTGGGGAGGGGCAAAGTATACCTTAGTGGGGAACTTGGGAGGGATCAATGATCACAGTACAATTGTTCAATGGTCAATGTTCTTGGTGCTCTTGGACTCTTGGTGGTCTTGGTACCAGTTGAGCAAACCAAAAGCCCAGCAGAACTTCCCAAGGACCTCGCTGGGCCCCAAATATAGGGTCCACAAGCAAGTATTGTTTAGTACAATTGTGGTTTGCCCCGGACGAGGTACATTGATTAATACGGCAATTGATCTATTCAATTCAATCATCAATCATCGATCAAATCTGTTCCCAGAGATGCCCAACGCAAGCAGTGCAAATGTAGCGCAATGCAGCAATTTGGGGAATTGATGAGGGGAAGCATCGAGCATTGAGCATTGAAGCAACCCTCAGCAGAAATGTGGGCTAGGACAGACCGGCTCAAGGTATTGGAACCCTGGGGCAAACATGTGGTACCCAAGTACACTCACGGCACCAGAGCAGGCAGGTGTGCTTGGGAGCTCCTCTTGTCGCAGTCAGAGGAGTGCACGAAGTACACTAACACTTTGAGTGTACTTGCAAGTAAACTAGGCAGGTTCCCACAACTGCAGCAAGCAACAAGTGGGTGCCACCTCCGTATTTGCCACTGATTGATTGGCACCTGCAGGCACCTCAAGTACCGGGTACAGGTCCTACCGGAACCTCAATCCATTCGGCACCCACAGATTCATCACCATGCAGAGAACCACTTCCAAAAGGCAGCTAGTGTCTAGATTGCTCCGCCGTTAAGCATTTTCTTTGGCTAGTGCCTCTGCATCAAAGAGCCATCCTCGACACCCACCATCAATCAATTGATGTCCTGGGTCTAGGCCCAATTTAAGCAACCTGTCACAGCTCGAGGGCGCGTGTCTCTTTGGTGAAGGAGATACGTCCCCGAATAAACCACACTAGAAACTTCAAATTGGGGGAGTTTGGCGTCTACGAAGTAGGGAATTTGATGGATCCGGAAAGGGATTGGTCCCTCCCACTTGACTACAATTCCTTTGTCCATCTCAGTGAACGCATTCTCAGGCCAAAAAAAAAGGACCCGTTTTGCACCTGGCATCAGGAACTTGACCTTTGAAATACAAAAATAAATAAGATCAAATAAAGAACAAAAACAAAGTGGCGAAAGCGGCGGGGGGTGGAAATGTTTTGAGTGGAGTGGATTGAATGAACTGATGCATACATCTAGGTCGTAGAGAGGTCAATCTGCAACTCGTATCACGGTGTAGAGAAGAGAGACACGATCCGGAAGCCGCAGAGTCTGGGGGAACATCGAAGTAAAAGCACTTGGTAATTGGCACATTACACAGAGACTAGAATCTATAGCACACATATGTCCTATCAAAACATCCTCTAAAGTGGGCAACAACCTAAGACCATGACTCAAGCCTACCGCTGCCGCAGAGCCTTCTCGTGCCTCTTCCAGAAGTTCCTGCACGCCCGATGTCCCCAATGCTCGACCCACCACTCCCCAAAGCTATCCTCGACCTCCAAGTCCACTTTAGCAACTCGCTCGTCTCTCTTTAGCCCACACACGACGCACTGCCTCGGCGCTGTCGGCACAAACTTGGCCGTAGAGACATGCATCGACTCGCTAAGCTCGGGGACCTTCAGCTGCTGCCCAGTCCCCACCGACTCGCTGGCGTTCGCAGCTGCTACGGCTGATCGTACGCGCCCCACCTGGACCTTCCATGCCGTCACCACGTCAGCGGCCTCGCGATCCTCGCGTGCCGTCTCGGCCTTGTCGACACCGGCTAGCTTCATGCCCTTTGCGCCGGCGGAAGAGATGGCCATGCTCTGCGAGAGGAACTTGTCGCGGTTCCATCGGAGCTTGCGGCCGGCGAGTATACGGGCCGCCACGGTTGCAATGAGAAGATAGCCTTTGAGGAACGAGATGGTTTCCGGGTCGGACATGATCTTCTTCTTTGCCGCGGCTGACTGGCCGGCTGTAGGTTGAAACAACGAGGTGTTGGCGAGGTTGAAGAGTCCTGGAAGTATGGTCATCAGTATCGAGGGAGGAGGGATGTTGGTGGGTGGTGGTTCCTTGTCGTCGTAATCGTCGTCGCCAAGCACGGCCAGATCGCCACTGGCAGAAGCCGTCTTCTTGGTGTCCCCGACGGCATCGACGGCATCCCAGTCCCAGTTATCAGGCTCCGGCTGCCTTTTAGTACTTTTGCTGGTAGTTGTTGTTGTTTTGGCATGCTTCTCCTCTGGGAAATCCTCCCAAGGAGCCCACTCGTCCTTTTGACTCACGGGTAAGGCACCCTCATCTAGATCAGGCCAGGCGGTGACGGGGGATGGCGAGTTAATGTCATCAGCCTTCCTAAGGTCCTCTTTTCGAGGAGCAGCGACGGCCAGTCCCTTGTAAGGATTGCGATCCTGGAATGACGGCGACTTCAAGGGTGGAGGGTAAGGCGAAGGAGCATTCTTAGTCTTGATGTTGTCTAGTATGAGCCCTGGCTTCTTAGCAGTCTTCTCCAGAGCTGGTTCCGGCGAAAGGAAATCAAGGTCAGATAGAAGATCCGCGGACGGGCGCGGTTTCGTAAGCTGCGCAGGCTGCGACGGCGCAACGGGGCCAGAAGGCACCCTGAACTGGGCGTTCGAGGCCTCTCCCGTCTCAAAATCGCCGAATTCATCATCCTCGTCGGATTGGTAGTGATCCTCAACATCTTCAACATCAAAGAGGATATTCGGGTCCTTCTTTTTCGGGGGTTCGACAGGCTTAGACCAAGAAGGTTGATACGCCGCCGTGTCTCTAGAAATGCCCAGATCCACGAGGTTATTGGTCATCAAATCGATCGTAGATGCCCGCACAACTCTCGTTCGGGTTGGGGCAACCTGCTCCTGCTGCTGCTGAGGGAGACTTGGCGTCTGGAAAGCTGGCGGGGCAGGAGCCGAGCTGACCCCGGAAAAGAAGTCGCCAAAGGGATCAGAAGTGACTTGGTTCGAGCTAGGTAGGAGGGAAGGTGCAACGGGTGGTTGTGAGGGCGTTAATGACTGGGGCGCAGGTACTTGAGGGGCAGCTGTTTCTGCGGTCTCGAAGCCGCCCCAGTCATCGTCATCATCAAGAGCTGTGGCAGGAGCGGGTGCAGTCTGTTGGTGCGAGGCAGGAGGCGCCGAGGTGAATGGGATAGGTTGTTGCCCCGCAGCCTGGAACCCGTGGTTGGGGTTGGGAACGGCTACATCGGGGGCTCTGTAAAAATCATCAAGGTCTAAGAGGAGGTTGCTAGAGCGAGACATGTGGCGATGCGATCCTGCTTGGATGGAGCAGCAGAAACCGTGCTCTCCGTCACGCGATGCGAGACGCAAAACCACTGGAAATATTGGGTCTTTCGTAAATCAGAACTGAGGTCTACCGAAATGCATTACTCCTCGGAGTTTTGTCGTGGTCACAACTTGTCCGATAGCACTTGCGGGATATCGTGCATCGAGAGAGTCTGGTGAGCAAGGGTGGTGGGTAAAGAGCAGGAACAAGTCAGACATGCTTGTTATAAGGCTGGACTGTGGTCAAAGTCTCCGAGAACCGAGTAAAATGCACACTAGCCAGGCTTGGACATCGTAGTGGCTCCCTCCAGGATTTAGGGTCTCCGTCATTCCCAATTCAGAACTTCAGAACTTCATAAGTTCAGCCTCAGCCAAAGCGGAAGATGGATCGATCGGGATTAAATGGTGCCTGGGAAAGGGGAGAAGGGAGACCAGAAGGGGCTTCATTGTTTGCATCCACTCGTCAATTAACCATTTGCTCTGAAGGTACGAAGTACACAGGTATCAATCGATGATAGCACGATGATGGAACCATCAGTTGTACATTTGACTGTTCATCGATGTATCGATTTGAGGAGCTGCTGGTCCTCGTGCAGGAGCGACCTGCCAGGGTACATCTGTTGTCGTCCCAAGTTATCAGTTGATACCAGAGGTAGAGTCGAGAGCATCGATTGACTGCCTGGAAGTCAGCAAGACCAGGGGATAGATTGATGGAGGAACCACTAAACTTGAAGTGGGTGATGGTCCTAAAGTTAGTGGCCTCAGCGCTGGCCTGGCTGGCGATTTCTTCCCAACCCCCTCCGCCCCAGCCTTTCGTCGCCACTGGCGCCAGTAACCGACTTGGATTGAACTTTGACCTTCCGGTTGTAGATTCCGACCCCGGCAAGGTCACCGACTCTTTTCAAGAATCTAAAATCCGCGTATCCTCATCGAGGCCCTCATATCCTCTATGCTTATGGCTATTTTGCGAGACGATAGGAGTCTTCCTTCTCACTCACTGCATTCGCTATGCCATCCGCCGCAGAGGCACTGTGAGTCTTCTTCTCATCCCTTTTGCCCCTTCTCATCCTTCATATTGGTTGTCCAAGCGATTCAGCTCTAACCTACGATACATCAGACCGAGATGGCAAGCCACTATCAACAGCTGCTCGAGTCTAGCCGCGCTACAGCGTGCCGTGAGGTATAACGGAAAAGAAAGCCCCGCCGTCATGGGCTGTCGCTCATTATGCTGGAAGGTGAGTGTCTCGTATCAACCTTCACCCCTCACTCATTGTCACACCGACGACATGCGCCCACCTCGCAGACCAGCGACGGCTTCAGACGCCGCGGTCACCGAGGGCCCCGGATCACTCTGAACCTCTCGATTCTCACATCCGCTCTCACAATAGACCTTCCTACTATTCAACGGCGTCTCGCCTACTGTCTGGATTCATTCCCTTGCCGAGGCGCGAGAATCTTACTCGGCGACGAGAGACCATCTGCTCAAATACATCAAGCATCCCGAAGCTCTCGCCAATCTCACAATTGACCCGCTCGCAGATGACCCAAATGTAAGTCGCTAACCCCTAAGCTTCTTGACCCTATTTCCGCCCCAAGCCAGTCTTTAACCTCTCTTGTCAGTCTCCTTGGATCACCATACGTCAAGATGAGACTATTAGGGAAGAAATTGCCCAGGATGTTCGCCGTTTGCCCGACGAAGCTTTCTACCACGAGGAGCATATCCAAGCCATGATCATAGATATACTGTTCATCTACTGCAGGCTGAACCCGTCTATTGGAGGCTATCGTCAGGGAATGCACGAGCTTCTTGCTCCCATTGTCTATGTCGTCAACCACGATGCCGTTGACAGGTCGGAAGACGATGCCTCGCTTGGTGACTCGGATAGACTTATGTTCGAGGTTCTTGACTCGGCGTTTATAGAACACGACGCCTTTGCTCTGTTTTCTAGGATCATGGACCGTGCAGGTTCGTTCTACGAAATTAACGATTCTCCCGCAAATTCCATACCGTCGGGCCTCGCAGAGAGCGCGGGGACGTCGGTGATCGTTGAAAAGAGCAAGTTCATACACGAAGTTTGCCTCAAAAGGGTGGACCCGCAGCTCGCTCAGCATCTCAAGAGCATCGAGATATTACCACAGATTTTTCTCATGTGAGTGCGGTCGATCCCTCAAAATGTTATTACCGAGATCGATCTTGAACTGACAAGGGTGAAGTCGTTGGATACGACTCCTCTTTGGCCGCGAGTTCCCATTTGATCAGCTCTTGATCCTTTGGGATACAATGTTTGCTGTTGATCCCCGACTAGATCTTATTGACCTTACATGCGTCGCAATGCTTCTGAGGATTAGATGGGAGCGTAAGTTGACAGCGATCCACAATGATCGAGATGGATCACTAACGTCGCCGTCAAAACAGTATTGGAGGCAGATTATTCCGTCTGCTTGCAGCTTCTCTTGAAATACCCAATGCCCAATGCTCCTCATGGGCCCCACACCTTTATCGAGGACGCCATCTATCTAAAAGATCACCTCGGACCCTCCGGCGCAACATCCCTTCTCATGAAGTACACCGGCAGAATGCCGTCGGTCACACGCTCCCCGAGCTTAAATCCCCGCTCCAGCCCTTCAGGTTTCGCCACCCTTAGCGGTCTGCGCTCCCGTGCTCTCAGTCCCCGGTCGCCGCTCCCCGCAGCCTCTAGACTCCTTCAGCAGCAAGGAGGCGTCGAGGCGCTCTTCCAAGGTGCTGCTAAGAACGTCCTCGAGAGAAGCGAGAAACTCGGCATCAACCAGGCCGTTAGGGATGCCATGGGAGAGATTCGCCGAAACATGCAGAATCTGCAGGACAACAACCGCCAGCATTTGTCCAGGTCGTCGAGGAGGGACTCTGCCTTTAGCTCCGGATTAGCCTCTCCGGCCGTTGGCGACTCCGCCGTGAAGGAGATGGCGAGACGGAATAAGCAGCTAGCGGGGATGTTGGAGGAGACTCTGTCGGAGCTGAGGGCTATCACGACGGAGGTTCTGGAAGATCGGGCTAAGAGCCTGGAGATGATTGAGATGGCGGTCGCCAAGGCCCAGGTTGTCAAAATTTGTCTTGAGGATTCGTCTGTCGATATCCCTGGGCTCCCTACACCTGAAAACACGCCTGCAGTCAAGGGTGGCCCCTCTGGCACAAAGGGGGAGGAAGCAGACGTGATCATGGATGCCACTCCAGAAGCACAGACGCAACCCCCATCACCACCCGCTACGGTAACGACAGATCCTATCCCCAAGATATCCACACTCTCGCTAGCCGAGCAAGCCCCCAATTCATCATCACCTTCATCAGCAACCCCTTCTTCTCTCGATCCACTCTCAAACATCCCCATCGAAGTCCCCTCCCCCAAGAAGCCTGAGAGACCAAGCAGCCTCCTCCCCGCCCGTTCCTCAATAGCCCAATCCTCCTTCGCCTGGATGCTCGAACCCGACACCTCAATCCCCGCCCCCCTCCCGTCCGCCACCGTCCGACCCGCTGGTCCCGCGAGCTCTTCGTCCTCCCTGTCCACGACGACCTCTACGTTTGTGAATAACGGGTCCTCGAGCGTGAGGATGCACAGGAAGAGGCCGAGCGGGAACAACTCGAGTAGTAGGGAGAGGAATGCTTTCTTGTTTGGCGAGGTGGTGCCTTCTGCCGATGTTGGCGCGGGAGGCGCGGCGGAGGTGGAGGTTAGGGGCGTTACGGCTGATGAGATTTTTGGGTTGGAGCCTATTAGGAAGGGGAGGTAGCGGAGGCGGAGGTGATGGTGATGGATTGGGACGCTTATGGATTGATGTGATACGACTGAGCAGGGGTTGGGTTTAGAGGGTTTGGGGTGATGCTTCTTGTATTCTCTTCCACGAGTTGGTCAAGGTGCTTTGGGAGGATTCTTTCTTGCTTTCTTTCCATTTTCTTTTCTTTCGTTTAGACCACATTTTGTAGACTCGGATAGATCTATGTATTTTCAACCTACTATACGCAGAACTCCTCGCTGTAAATCATGGACTTTTTTTGTCTTTTTTTCCCACCCTCCCCTTCGTTTCCCTTACCAAGAAGCCGTGCTCGTTAGCCACCTTTTGCTTGCGACCTCACTACACCCCCACACCAGCAACTACTTGCCCATCCTCTTCTCCCGAATAAAGAAGGTCGCCAAAACAGCAAAAGCCAACGCCACAACCGTAGGACCCATAGCAGCCCCGACGCCCAAGCGATAACTATCCCTCACATCAGCAGCAACATCAGCAGGCAAATCCCCAATGGCGCGCATATCCTTCCTCACGCGTTCCTCGACCTCCCTCGCGGCGTCGCCATCGCCCAGGCGTCTCAGCAATTCGGACCTCAAGACGTTCTGTAGCACGGCGGAGGAAATGCTAATGCCGATGCTGGAGCCGAGGGAGCGGAAGAGGTAGGAGCAGGCGACGACGACGGCGATGTCTTCCTGCGCGGCGTTGGAGAGGAGGGCGACGAGGGTGGTGGTTATGCCGGAGCCGGCGCCGAGGGCTGTGAAGGCGAGGCCGGCGACGACGCCGAGTGTGGATCTCGCGTACACGGATGCCATGAGGGGAGGGGCCGAGACGAAGAGGAGGGCGAAACCCGCGACGGTGATCCAGTAGTACCTCCCCGTTCGGCGGATGACGTACCCCCCGCCCAGAGAGGCGGCCACGGCGCAAATCATGCAGGGCACGAGGAGGGCCCCGGATTCCGTGGTCGACAGGCCCTGCACGGCCTGGAAAAACAGCGGGGCGAAGAAGAGGAGGGCGGTTTGGCCCGTCGTGCCGAAGAAGTTGGCGATGTAGCACGCGAAGAGGGAGCGGTCGAAGATGATGTGCCCCGGTGCGAAAGGGTGAGAGGCCACGCGCATCTCTACGAGGAGGAAGAGGGTGAAGAGAAGGGGCGCGGCGATGAGGCTTGCGAGGGTCCGGGTGTTGGACCAGCCGTTGTTGGAGCCTGCGTCTAGACCCGTGAGGAGGGCGGTCACGGCCGAGACGAGGAGCGCGGCGCCCAGAAAGTCTACGCGGGTGACTTTCTCAAGCCAGTGCGAATGGTCCTTCTTCGGGAGGTGCAAGGTAAGATAGACGGTAACAAAGGCAACCGCGCACATGGGCACCTGGCCCAGAAACGACCACCGCCAACCGATCGAATCAGCGAGAAGACCCCCCAGCGGGGCGCCCGTCGAAGTGCCGGCCGCGAAGATGATGTTGAGGTAGCCCTGCCACACGCCGCGGTCGCGCAGGGGCACGATGTCGGAGATGAGGATGGAGACTACGCTGTTCATGCCGCCGCCGCCGATGCCTGCCACGGCGCGCGAGGCGCAGAGTTCCAGCATGTTGCGGGAGAGGCCGCAGCCGAGGCAGCCGAGGGCGAAGATGGTGTAGGCGAAGAGGAGGCATTCTTTGCGGCCGAAGATGTCGCTTAGTTTGCCGTAGAGGGGCTGGAAGCTCGTGAGGGTGAGGAAGTATCTTGGGGGTTGGGAGTGAGTATATTGGGATGAGAGGTTTGAGATTGGAGGTGGGTGGAGGGCTTACGCTGTGGCTACCCAGCTGGTGTTGTTGAGGGCGTTTAGGTCGCTGCCGATCTTGGCGTAGCTGGCGACGGTTAACATTTGGTCCATGGCGCAGAGATAGATCTGAGTCCCTTGAGTTAGCTTCGATGCTTGGGAGTATCAATGATTCACGCGTATACTATACTGTCCACCTCATAAAACGAATACAAACAGCAATCGACAGCCAATTCTTCAGAATAGCGGAAAATAACTTACACCGATCCCAATAGCAGGAAACAAGAGATGCATCCGTGCCGCTACGTCGGGCATCCCTTCCGGGACCGCCTCCGGCTCCTCGGGAGCTTGGGTTTCAACGCAGCCATTGGTGGCATTCTCCTCATTCAGCAGCGGTGTAGTCTCGTTGGCCGCATTGGCCGTCCTCGGACTAGTCACCGTCATTTGTTTCGTTTTCCTTCTCCTTTGTACACTTTAGATGGCAAAGAAAGACAAAGTTGAGATACGGAAAAGTTGAGGCCGAAGGTTTTGGCGGGGCGGGCGGATATTGGGATTGAAGGGGACCCGCGTTGTGTGGAGGAGGGATCAATGCGTTGTTGGGGGAAGTGCCTGGGGCGGCTGGTATCTGCGTCCAATTGGGCAATTGATCAACAGATTGCGTTATCTAGAGCCGCATTGGGAGGTCCGGATTGACCGGATGGAATTTACTCCTGAGCTTACGGGCTACTGGGGCGATTTTGCGATTTGGCATCAAGACTTTCCTGCCTCATTCGTCCAGGTGCACTTGAAGAGCCTCGAGCCGTTGAGGGAAGCAGATCAAGGGGTCTCGTGGGAAATATGGTGGATCACGTGACTCACTGTCTCTGGGAGCTTCTATCAATTGATCGAAGCTGAACTTGGAGCTTCAGCGGATCAACTTGATCGCATTGGTGGACCTGACCAAGGAAGGGCTGGCTCCCCAAACCTGGGTCCCTGTTTGGCGCACATCTGCTACACTTCTGAAGATCAGAAATTCTCGACCAGGTCTTGACCGAGTTGCGAGTTTGCGGCCGATTGTGCGACCAACAAAGTTAGAGAAGCGTTCCCGAATATCCGTACGATGTGGGGGTCAGAGGCCAGGGGCAGCTCTTAAAAGCAGTAAAATATGAAAGAAATAGATGGCTGTGTATGAGGCGGTCGTCCAAGAGCGAGCTGGCCCTTCAGGACTCCGTTTCATCGTCGTATTTGTTCTTACGAAGTATGATACGGAATATCTTCTGGAAGTACTGGACGCAATAAAGCCACGTGGACTGGCGATTTAGTGCTACAGAGCATTTCCATACATTCTCGATACGGGTATCCTTTGAGTCTCGCCGAGCCGTCTTAAAAGCCAGCTTTTGGTGGGGTGGAGGAAAGAGGATTGAAGGTGGGATTGAGGCCCGAGAAGGACGGGAACGGCTATATATTAAAACTCAAAAAAAAAAAAAAAAAAAAAAAAAAAAAAAAAGAAATGAAAGAGGCTAGAAGAGCAGTGTGTGAGAGGTTGGACTCATTGATGTTTTATATCTTGAGCCCCCCCCATCCCGCTCGGGAACGACCTGCAACTCGTTGCCCACCCTCACTCAGTAATTCGGTATCTGTGTATATCACGGGGCCTGTTTAAGAGGCTAAGTGAGGCAGTCAATCGGTAGGCCTCGGATGTAAGTGCGTATTCAAGCACAGGGTGTGGTGTAGTGGTTACTTGAATTGACTACTGCAGAGTGCAGAGGAACCTCCAGAATACACGGAGGACTTCGTAATTATATAGACTTTAGACGTTTTCCTCTACACATCTTCCTCCAATCTGACTATAGTAGCTCGCGGAGAGAGCGCTTGGTCGCTTTCCCAACAGCCTCCGCGGCAATCCATGACCGAGACCGCGCGGTGAACTTTAGCCGCGCTCTCTTGCAGCATCAACGATGGTATCGATGCGGGGAGCGGCGAGACTCTAATCACCGTGGTCAACACACCGCAAAGGGTTTCTACATATCGATGATTGTGTTGTCTGTTTCTAAACTAATAGATCTATTTCGTCTTAACGCAATTATATAGCCAGACACATCAATGACAACGAGTCCATGCTCCATCATCTAATTCCCCCTGCCACATGATAGCCACCCACAATTGCAACTCATTGGAACTTAGCTTCATCTACTCAAAAATGAGCAAGCCTCTGAGAAATCGCCAGTCCTGCGTAGGCCTTCACGTTGAGGAATTGCCAACGCCAGTATTACTGATCAGCAAGCCTATTGTTGAGCGGAACATTGCGCAACTTCACCAGGACGTTGAAAGCGCAGGCCTTACCTTCAGGCCTCATGTCAAGACTCTCAAGGTGTGATGATTGTTTTCCGGGCATTTCTGTACCGGGTTTGTGATTTACTTTTTCATCGCTGACTTCTCCCACTCTCCTACTATTCGCGTAGACTCTTGAGATCACGAGGATGTTACTTGGATCGAGGTCTAAGAAAATTGTAGCTTCAACTCTAGCGGAAGTCAGGGGCTCTTTGCCTCTTGTCGAGGAGGGTCTTCTTGATGAAGTAAGGATGGGCCCCCCTGGCTAGAGGCGCGAAAGAAGTCTAAACCTTTGATTGATACTGAAATAAGCAACGAGCCAGGTCCTGTACGGTCTTCCGATCAATAAGACGGCCTTAGCGGAGCTATCTCAAATTCGAGAACATGTTGACGTCGTATTGTTGATCGACCACGATCAACACATCGACCTGATCGAGGGGTTCGGTTACAAAAATCCTTGGAGAGTTTTTATCAAGATCGATGTGGGTAGCAAGCGCGCAGGAGTGCCCCCAAGCAGCGCCAGGCTTCCCGCGCTAGTCAAGCGGGCACTAGCATCTCCATCTGTGTCGCTTTTCGGCTTCTACTGTCATGCCGGCCATTCGTACGCATGCAAAACAACTCGCGAAGCGGAAGACGTCCTCAGAAATGAAGTCGAGGGGGTCCTTTACGCGGCGAGTCTCGTACCGCCCACGCATTCTATCACGGTATCTATAGGATCCACGCCGACGGCACACGTTGTGAAGAGCATCAAAGCAGCTGCTCCTCCGAATGTGGCCATTGAGCTGCATGCTGGTAAGGTACTCCCCATTCAGCATCGTTAAAAACGACGAGTATTTCAAGAAAGGATAGCTGAGTTGTGGCTCAGGAAACTTCCCCACGAACGATCTACAACAAGTATCAACCGGACTGGTCGCAGAGGACCAGCAGGCAATTCGAATCCAAGTGGAAGTTTGCAGCATATATCCAGAGAGAAATGAGGCACTTGTGAATGCGGGAACCATTGCTTTGTCAAAGGAGACCAGCGCCTTTCCAGGGTTCGGAAACGTGGTAGAGAAGCCAGCGTGGTACGTTGGTCGCATGTCCCAGGAACACGGAATACTCGTCACGGAGCCGGGGAACGGGCGGTTCGCAGAAGAGGAGTTCCGTGTTGGGGACAAACTGCGCCTTTACTGCGCACATTCGTGCATCACGGCCGCTGCATTCCCGGAGTACTATGTAGTCGACGAACATGACCGTGTCTCTGAAGTGTGGATTCCGTGGAAGTGGTGGTAAATAGTATAATTATCGGCGTTGGTCAACAAGAAGAGGACGAGCTAAACTAGGAATAACATCAATACTCTAAACACTAACGTCCTTATACACCCCAAGGCTAATATCTCAAAGCCTGAAAAGTACCTTGCCAATCTTTAGCGGAATTAAGGCAACATCACATTGCAGCAAAGTGCCTAAGAACATTCTCCGTCATCTTGGCAACGTTATTCTTGTACCCGTCCCAGCCAAGAGAGCAATACCAGTTCATACTCCCAACAGAGAACACCTTTCCGCCAGCTTTATTCTCCATAAACACTATGTCACTTCGAATCTTGTTCGTGTTCGGCCCCAGAAGGCCATCCCAATAGTCCTGGAACGAAAAGTCCTCTGGGAACAAGCCGAACAGCTCCGAGTGCGTAAGACTCGAAGCCAGCACCACGGCCGTCTCGGGGCTTCCGTGTACCGGGTCCCAGCGATCAATCTCGTCACCGCTCGCGCCGCCGCCGAAGCCGTTCTCGCCCACAAGTTCATCGCTACCAATCCCTTCGAAGACCCACGCAAACCTGTCGTCTTTCGCAGCCTCCGTCGGCTTGTAGGCGACGCCGGGACCGAAGCCCTCGCCGCAGCACCCGATTCCGACGAGGTGGTTTGCCGAGCGGCCGCGGGAGCGCCAGAGACCCCCGCGCTGGCCGTTGAGACTGTGGTGCCATTCGCCGCCAGGCATGCCAAAGGTTCGAACGCCTTGGTCGCAGCGGCGGACCTCGATTCGGTGAGGGTTGGCAGGGTCCAAGACGGACATCCAATAGAAGCCGTTGCCGCCCAGGTACATGATGTTGCCTCCGCAAGCGGAATACTCGCTGTACGCGTTAAGAGACTCAAGGGTGGGGTATTCCGGGTGACTTCCGGTGATGACCGTCGAGTATTGCTTGATGGCGTTTACCCCTCGCGCATGCAGGTCGTGGTCGGTAACGACATCATATGGGATGCCCACCTGTTCCAAGAAGCCAACCATGAGGAGGTCCGCGGAAAATTCACGGGGTCGGTCGAAACCCCAGTGGTAGAAACCGGGCCGCACGTTAAGAACAGGCCTCTTGACGGTAGAGAACACCGAGCCTGAGCCGTCCCGATGGACGTCGTACAGGGAAAGACCGAGATCACCGCGTCTTTCCATTCGCTTAAAATTTTCGTCCTTGCGAGGCATCAGGCCGCCGGTTAGCACAAGGGAGGACGACCTTGACTCATCGTACATGTGCTCGTTAGCATAGGCAGTGTACGTGAAAGTAGACAGGACGAGTGCCACTTTGGCTACCGAAGTTGGAGGTGGCCGAACGAAGAAGGTGATATTGTCTAAAACTGTTGGGTCGTCGGCATTCTTGACCTCCACGGCGTAAGCACCAGAACGGGCGCCAGCTGGGATTTGAATTGTGAAATCAGTTTGCCATCGAGCATCATCCAGGTCGTCCTCGTGGAAGTGGATTGCGCCGTACCCGTACGTCGCCTTGGTCCAGTCCGTCTCGCTCCCATCCCAGTCATGGCCTGTAACGGCTCGCGTGGGAGCATTTACTAACACACCATGCTTTCCGTTCCCGGACACATCGACGACGGAATCGGTCGACATTTTTAGGTAAAAGTCGAGCTTGAGGACAGACCTCAGAGTGCCAGCACAGCTTGCATTCAACGAAACGGCCTCTATTCGGCCGTTGTAGTAATCGGTAGGTCTGGTATCTAACGTTGGTCGGGTGGCACCCACGGTAAGGATAGATGATGTTGTAAGGGTAATCGGCTTGGAGAGTTTGAACGATTGCTGGTGGTACTCTCCATTACAATGGCCAAGGAATGCCATGGGGGTCGCAGCAATGGCCAAGACGTCCTTGTGAATGTTCAAATCGATATGCAGCCATTGCTTCTCGACGAGGGCGTAAGTGAAGGGGACTTCTTCCAGCTCGCTCCCGTTCCCGACACGGACTTTGAGACCACCGTCGTCACCCAACAAAACCACGACACCGTCGACCCCATTAGATCCCAGAAGAGAGACGAGAGTTTGGTCATGGCCAGCACTCAGTAGATATGGCTGGAAAAAGAATGACAATTTGACGCCCTCATCTTTGGAGGTGAACCCAAGGTCCTCGACAAGAGCGTAGGAACCCGCATGGCTTTGCTGGAACCTTCCCTTGTGGGTGCCCCTGGCAATTTGGGTTATTTCTTCCACCCGAACCTCGGGCGCGTGAGGAGCGTCAAGACCTTGGATGAGACGGACTGTCCGATGGCTATACTCGCTGGCGGTAGTGGATACCTGAAGATAAGAAGAGTAAGTGTTAGCACGATCCCCTAAATTCGGGTCTCCATGGCGAGGTTTACCTTGATATGCACCTGGTCACCGGGGCTGACGATCCAGGGTTCGGCATAGCCGATGATTTCGGCAGGGTAACCTTCCGGCACCTGACAGATAGTGGTGGCCATCTCGATCTTCGAAGGTAAATTGTTTTACTTGTAGACAGGCCCGAAATGGAGTCTTTGAATAAATACGAATGGCAGTCTATGAACTTCAGAAGTGTAAGAGGTTGAGTAGGCTATTCATAGTAGATGTGATGGAGCAAAAATGAAGTTGTTGATTCTTGAGACTCAACCTCGCTCGGCCAAGGGGCCATGCGAGTAGATATGGCCTCAAACCAAAGCAAAGCTCTAAAGAAGTCCTGACAGTCTCGTAGAACTAATTCTGAGGGGCTACCCCGCAAACACAAGACTCTTGGGGATGCCAATAACCGCGCGGGTATTGTAATCTCAGATTCTCAGTGTAAAGAGGTAGGCGAGTCCGCCAGCTTGAACTCAAATACCACACCAAACTCTGCTCGGCGGCTTAACGACGCACTTGACGTGAGGTTTGCCGAACTAACTCCCCTCGAGTCCGGATCGCCCTCGTATTTCTCATCCACGCATCACTTAACTGCTTGGGGATTATTGGTGGAGGTTCTAAATCCTTAGAGATAACACATCAGGTTCACACCGAGATCACTAGTCGCATCCAATCGAAACGAAGACCGCCAGCGCGGTCTTGGGCTCTTAGCGTCTGCTCAGGATAAGAGTTGCCCAAGTCACGTTTTCTCCCGATACTGCAGAGAGAAACTTCGGTGGCTGCGGGGGTGGTAACTAACACGACCTCCCGAGAGGCTCCGGTTGCAGTTGATCTGCGCATTTATATTGATAAGGCCAGGCCAAACATATCTGAACCCCATCGGATGGCGCGGGAAGAGGTTGGCCTACATCGGCATATCAGGAAAATCACACCCTCCGTTTCTGGCAGACACACTTGAGAAGAGAAGTGATTTTAATTGCAGGGAGTCGACACGATGAAATAACGAAGAGGTACGGGCGAGGATACGAAAGAAGGCGGCGGGGAAAGACATGCGTCCGCGCTGCACAACTTCATACACTACTTCGTATTAACGTGTAAAGTGTTGGAGGGTGGTTGGGGAGAGAGCTGAGGATGGAGAAGCTAACACTACACTAGACGAGGCTTGGCGGCATATTATAGCAAATGGCTGAGCTAGATCTAGACTTGGCTTTTTTTCAATGCATTTCGATCTCATCCCCCCCCTTTTCTCCCTTCGGTGGAGCATGCGAGACAGCGTTATTAGAGAATCGAGAAGTGTACTTCAAGAGATCGTCGTCCTACCTTCAAAGTAAAAGCGGCTGCCTGAGTCGACAAGCGTAATCCACTCAAGACTCGCTATCGAGTAGTTAATCGTGCCGTCGTACCGAGAAAAACCAAGTTTAAGAGAAACGCCGAATCGCTTAAAAAAGAAAAGCGGAAAGAACGAGACTTTCATCCCACATATCGGGCAGCACCACAGGAGCCGAGTTACGAGGTAAGACAAGGACAATACGACCTCATACGAAGTACAAGAGCTTTTCCAAAGTCAACGCTGACAATTTGCTAAGTTTGTGGAGGATGCTTCCTTACTAGATCCTCAACTCAAGGAGAAAGCTGTTCTCAAAGACAAAAACATTGATCAACTTGATCCTTGGTTTCCTTGGCTCAGGAACCGGACCCTGGAAGTTTTGATCTCACCCAGGATTCCAGGATTTTTTGGTGGTCCTTCCATTTCCCACATCTCATTTCCCCAATGCCCACTGCGCCCCAGAGTCCGCGTAACATGTTGCTATTATTAATGGCGGGTATCGATGATCAATCCAACGTTATACTTTTGAGTTTTTTGTCGTTGCCTTGGGTGGGTGCACGCGCTGCAAGTGGAGCGTGTTTATTCCTGTGATTTCTGCTAGCGTGGCCGAGAACCTGGAATCTTAAGACTCACAACAAATGAATGCAGGTACGAAGTATTACAAGTACGGATGGAGACCCGAGGATGGATCTCGTCCGCTGAAAAGGACCTAGCTTCCATCACTGCCGCGTCTGTCCCTTCTAGAGATCGGGAGTACCGGTGAACAAAACAGTAACCCTAGTACCGAGGCTACTAGTGTAAATTGCCAGGAGTCTTGGTCTTTCGTGCATGCATTCGCAATCTAAGTGTAAGCACGAAGTGCTGCTGGTGGAGAGTAGTAGTAGTAGTTTGACCTTCCCGACCCGCCCGACAGCGTGATCGACGCCCAAGACGCGGGACGTCATCGATAATATCGTGTCTCCGTGTCGGGAACGGGACCCCTGGAGACCTCGATGAGGGACGATGTACAGGGTGACTGCTCTGCAGCAGGTACAAGCCGACGCATCTTCGTCAAATCTTGGGTGTCTTGCTCTATCGGGCGATCTTCATCTCGGGATTTAAACTTCAAATGCTGCCTTGATATTCCAGAAGACGCCCGCTGTCGTCTGGCCATAGATTATTTCGTGTCGTGGAGCGGCACTGACCATCGTCACCAAGACAAAGGATGACATCAATCAATGATAACGTCGCGGAACCGTTCGAAATGGGCTGACGGGAGGGAACACGGACCTTGCCATCAACTCAACTCTCAGGAACGGTTTTCATCTATTCATGATCCTTTTATTCGGTATCCCTCAGTCGAGTAATATTTATCATTACTTGTAGGATTAATCGCGAACAGGGAACATCCATCCCTATTCATGCCAGCCGTGGATTCTTGATACAAATGATACGTTGCTTGATATTAACAATATTAAACGGATCAAAATAACTGTCGAGAACCCTCTTGGTCAGCGACGTTTGATTACTTCGTACGAGGGGAAGGGACAACGCAGGAACCAAGTCGTACACAAGTAAGATGCAGGTACAGAACTCAATCGCCACACAAGGTCACTTAGGAGGGAGCACTTCTCACCACCCAAGCCATTGGGCCTATTTCCTTCCCCGTGACGTGAGACTTGGGGCGCAGAGGGCAGGAACGGAAGTTGGAAATGACTTCTGTCGTTTCATTCCGCCCCCTGTCTTGCCCGTCAGGTTCCATTGTCCCCCTCCAGTTACTTGTGCCTCTCTCCCTCGCCCTCTTCTGGAATAGTTGGGTTAATATCAAGGATGGAGGGGCTTCTTGGCCCATGCTTTTTAACCAGTGGCTGTTTCAGTTTCTCCCGGTTCGGGACAGGGGGTGGCCAGACCATGAAGGGACTTGGAGGTACTCGTTAAATATAATATCTGTACCCTATTCTTTTGTATTCTTTTGTATTTTTAGTTGCAGATCATTCTCCTCAGAGTTGGGACAAGCCCAGTCGCGACACCGAATGGGAATAGATCGTGGAGGCCTGTCAAGCTGAGGACATCAATGACGAAGTAACACCCAAGTAACAACAGTTTTAGATGCCCAGATTCCTGGCTGCGTGCGCCGTTCTTGCAAGAACTGCACTATTCCCACTTTTTTTCCTCTTCCCCTCTCCGCCAGATCCGGGCAAACATATCGCGGATAGCCCTTTTATCCTATCAAGCGTTCACTATTAATTCTTAACCCATAACACTGTTGATTGTTGCTTACGCTCGGTTATGGCTATTCGCCTTATCTCCTGCCTAGTTTTATGCGTTCTCCTGCCACCTCGGCGGGCAAAAAGCAATAATCAGAAGCTGACTCTCATCTCGGAGATGATGCGAATCCGAGAGGGCTGGGCCGGACTGCAACTGGTAATACATATCAAGATTATTACTTCCCTCCTCTCTTCGAACACTACTCCGATACTTCCAAGTACAGAGCAAACTACTTGTAAAACATGCCATTAATGCCCGCGTCCTCTCCTCCAAAGTACATCTTACAGCGCAAACGTCCTCGGAAGGTCCAACCTCTGTCGCGTTGACACGAGCTGTCGCAGCGCAAAAAGTAGACAGCCCCCAAGGTGGGAAAAACAAAGTACATGATGCCCCTCTTTAGGTCTTTAGTACAGCATTTAAAGTGGCAGCTACCTGTTTTGGTCTGGTACTTTCAGATGATAGTGACATATGGCAACTTGCAGTGCAAGTAAAAACTAAGGAAATACCGACTGACTTGGCACTCCTGCACCTTCTTCTGATCCCCGTGCTAGACCAGGTCAGTCCAGCCTCTGGAAGTCTCAACGAAGTAAAAGTCTCTGATTGAATTTGTCCGAAGACACTTGATGGACTTGGACCGACCTGACTAGACCTGGACCTGGACCTCGACCGACGAAGTAGATCGATCGCTCCACTCCACTCGACTCTTCAACTTCTCAATCTCTTCACCCTCATTTTCTTCGTTGTCCTTTTCCTTTTCCTTTCTTTTTCTTGCATTCTGCTCGTTGTGCTTCTTTTCCGGTTCTCGACTTCTTCCAAACGCGCGCTACGGAGTACTTGGTATCTACATCAATTGATCAGTCCTTAATAATATCGATCCCGATTCTCTGACATGAAGACGAAGCTTGAAGCCAGCAATTCCCCACAACTCCGTTCTGAACGCTCTACTTCGACTGGGCCTTGACTCCGCCCCCTTCAAACCCTCCATTCGCTCGAATCCTCCACTCTTCGTTGGATTTGATGCTGGCTCATCGAAAAGTGCGGCATCCGTAAAACGTAACGGACGTAGCAGACGAAAAGTCGAGTCAGGGAGAACCTGGTGTACCGGGGTCGGTCTAACGAGTTTGGTCCCACGTTTCCGTCGCACATCGAGCATTACACAACACGCAACCCGCTCACACCAAACGCTCGCAATACACTCACCTCACCTGCTCACCTCACACACATCCGAAGTACTCGCACGCAACCCGCCTTATCCTTGTGGTGGAACCGTCAGATTCCGTCTCGTCTCTTATTGTTGTCGATTTTTGTAATCCCCATCCCTGAGGACCCGCACCTCCCTCCCATTATAGCCGGGAAGACGGAGGGGTGGAAAAGGGGAAAAAGGTAAATCTCGCTACGGTTCAATATATTAAGGCACCAAAAAGCGAAAAAGTTCCTGCGTTATCCTCTTTTCCGTTTGGCCCACCATGCTGCAACAGCAGTCCTCGTCGTCTCTCCAGACCCCTAAAACTGGGAGGTCGCGCTTCTCCAAGG